TTTCTATATACGGTATATAAAAATAAAAGTCGATTTTGGTTTGGCATCGTTCATCCGATAGCCATGAGACTTTGGGGAATTCATTATACCACTCTAGGGAAGGGTTCTGTAAAAAAAAAAAAATTAATTTCGCAAGGGCGGCGCCACGGGAGGGTCCGATTTTTCTCTATTTACGGTATATAAAAAGAATAAAAGTGAATTGCAGTGACACCGTTTAGTTATCCGATAGGCATGAGACTTTGGGCAGTTCATTATAAAACTCCAGGGAAGGGTTCTGTAAACAATAATTTTTTATTTCGCAAGGGCGGCGCCTCGGGAGGGTGGGATTTTTCTCTATATACGGCTTATAAAATAAGTCGATTTTGGTGTGACACCGTTATCCGATAGCCATGAGACTTTGGGGGAGTTGATTAGAACAATTCAGGGAAGGGTTCTGTAAAAAAAAAACCTTTATTAATTTCGCAAGGGCGGCGCCACGGGCGGCTGCGATTTTTCTCTATATACGGTTTATAAAATTTCTTTTTTTTTTTTCGTTTTCACACCGTTCATCCGTGTACCATGAAACTTTGGGGAGATGATTAGATCACTCAATGGTAGGGTTCTGTAAAAAATATTGTTTAATCTTGCAAGGGCGGCGCACCACCGGGGGGGGGGCGATTTTTTTCTCTATATACGGTATATAAAAAATAAAACTCGGATGCGGTTCATCCGAGTACCATGAAACTTTAGGAAGTAGATGAGAATACTCCCGAGAATATTTCTGCGAAAAAGAAAACTAAAGTTTCTTACGGGCGGCGCCATATAGGGTACAACTTTCGTCAATACACGGTTTGGCGCCCAGAGTTTTAGAGCCACTAAGTTGGCACTTGGCATCCGTTAATCGAGCGTCCTGTATAGCGAGTAAGGGGTACTACTATATTCAGCGGTAAAAATACAACAGGCTTCTAAAAATAACTTTGTAACGCGAGGAAATCCTGTACAGTTTCGTCACCTTGCGAAAGATGAAAAAATAACTGTTTGAATATGAGGAACCTACTGTAGAGTTTCGTCACTTTGCGAATGATGCAATAAGCATCTATTATTAGACGATCCAGGCCGAAATTGAGACCGAGCATCTAATAATAGACCATTAGTAACGCTAGCATACTGCATCAGTCGAACTGATGTTTAAAACACGTCAAATAGTTTTTGTATGTGTTAAAGAAAAAAATCCTGTTCATTTGTGTCACTTTAGCGAATGACGAAATCTGCATCATTGTTTACAGGATGTTATTTGGCACGCTGGGTTATCCTATGAGCACGATGGCGCCTGTTAGTTTTAAGGAGCCAGGGGCCTTACGCTGCGCCTCTGCGGTAGTGTAATCGGGGGGGGGGGGGGGGGGTGGGGGGCTCCTGAGAGCGCCCCTCTACGTCCCTGACATATGGGTGGTCACTGAAGTGTGTTCTACCTAATTATTTCGGTGAGTGATTAATGTACACTCAAGATTTTCATGCGGTAGTGTAGGAAAACCCGTGTCCCGATAATTATTATCCAAGCGCAGGCAATGTTGACATTTAAATAACACAGTTTTAGAAAACAAGGTGATGCGTCTAAGAACATATGATTGGTAATGCATTGGTGATATCCTTCTAATATATTTCGTCAGACTTTATTCTATCCCCGCGGCAACGCGCGGGGGACGGGTACGCTAGTATATATATATATATATATATATATATATATATATATATATATATATATATATATATATATATATATATATATCGGCTAACTCTGAAACATGGCTGACCAAGTAGCCAAATATACTTCTAGCAAGCTGTGGCTGAAAATACTTGTTTTAAAATACTATCAGTAGCTGGTGAAGGACGATTATCTTCCCCCCTCCCCCCCCCCCCCCATCTTCCCGCCACTGTGAAAGCAGCCTCCCCCAGTTTCATATTGTTTAAAAACTAAATTGTCTGTCCCCAATAGCCGTCACTAATTCGACCCGGCTCTGTGATTGTAAACATTTGGCGTGAACCACAGCTCACCAGACTGGTGTGGTTTAGGGTATTTGCGATATGGTCTGTTGCGCATGCCAGAAAGAGCGAATGAGGGTGTGGGAGGAGGGTTAAATAGTCGGCTTGCGTGCATTGTGGTGTCCACGTAGAGAATTATATAAGATTTTTATTTTAAATATTATTTCTAATTAAAATGTAACAAATTGCTCATTTAATAAACTTAAAGCTTTTAAAAAGTAAAAGTGTAATGGTATATATATATATATATATATATATATATATATATATATATATATATATATATATATATATATATATATATATATATATATATATATATATATATATATATATGGTTCCATGACAAATGATCTCAGGACAAATGATCTCAGACAAAATATCTCAGACAAAATATCTCACGGACAAATGATCTCAGGACAAATGATCTCAGGACAAATGATCTCAAGGACAAATGATCTCAAGGACAAAAGATACCAGGACAAAATATATCAGGACAAATGATATCATGGACAATTGATCTCAGACAAAATATCTCAGACAAAATATCTCACAGCAAAATGTTGATAGTATGTACAATGATTTTAGTTCATTTGAACTTTTTTAAAAATTGACTGCCGAGATGGTTTTGTTTACTTTCTTTACGCATCATAATTGAGAATAAAGTGAATTTGTTAAACTTTACAAAGCATCAAAAGATTTATTTAACTTAATCTTTGTAATGGCCTTTGATTTGAAAAAATCAAAATTAAAACAAACTTTCTCCTTTAGCCTGAAAGGTATGATAAATGATAATGTATAAAACAAAGTAACGGTAGCTATACAACAATAATGTTTAAAACATGCGAAATATCTTTAAAAAATGTTAATGGGTCTTCAGGTTCGTAACGTAAAATTATTGTTTTTATTGCATGATCAACACAAACATAACGTTTACGTTTCTTTGCTGACAGTACATCGTTATGATCACACCTCTCCAATACTATGTCATCATGTATTGTATTGTGTGAACTCTTGCTCGACATGTTCTAACTCCGCGATGACCACTGTTTGTCTTAAATAAGCATTAGTCACCTGATCACTAAGGTGTGACAGACGCATAACTATTGAATTTAGCTATTAGTTGTATTGTTCGTGGAGGGCGGATGTCTTTCCCTTAAGGTATGTCTCTACCATCAAAGCGGGCTGCCACCTTGTACGAAGGTGTGTCTTTATTGTTATTTCATCCTCTTTCATCTAGTTTCGTCCACCTGACATGGTTGGATTGTCTCATGTTTGGCAAGCCCGCCTACGCTGTCTATCGAACAATTTCTTTAATCTTCTATAGTAATAATCCTAATTTTAAAATGCAATATACAATTTTAAAAGTGCAATATGATAAATTTATACGGCAAACATTTCTTACAATTATCATATGGGCCTATAAACAATATTAAACATATTAAACAAAACCATACGACAGTTAATAAAAATTGTTCAGATCACTAAAGTCACCCAATACTCTATTATAATTTAGGTGTGAGATATTTTGTCTGAGATATTTTGTCTGAGATCAATTGTCCGTGGTATCATTTGTCCTGATATATTTTGTCCTGGTATCTTTTGTCCGTGAGATCATTTGTCCTTGAGATCATTTGTCCTGAGATCATTTGTCCTGAGATCATTTGTCCGTGAGATATTTTGTCTGAGATATTTTGTCTGAGATCATTTGTCCTGAGATCATTTGTCCTGTCACCATATATATATATATATATACATAAATATATGTATATATATATATATATATATATATATATATATATATATATATATATATATATATATATATATATATATATATATATATAGGTGGGGGGGATGAGAATGCGAGTAACTGGTGGTGGTAGGCAAGGCAAGATGGCGGTAAATGGGTTTACCGTCACACCACCTACATACACAATATCCCGGGCAAAAATATACCGTATGATCTCTATAACAACAGTAAAATAGAAAACAAAGAAAAAAACACTAGAAAATAAATACATTATTGCAACATGTTTTCTACAACACACGGTCAATAGATTAATAACTAGCCAATAAGATTTGGGTTTGTAGGAAAAACTTAATGACAATCGATAGTCAATAGCAATATCCAGCGTAAAGAACATCTGTGTGACCATAAGACCATAATTTATGATGGTCAGCCCAAGATACCCAAGATATTTACAGATAATACATTCACGTAGTTTCCTATATGCTTCGATCAAATTACTAAAAAATTTCTATCAATACAAGTTTGTCATTTGGAACTCACAAAGGTGTATCTCCCATCAATACAGCACGTAAATGGCACCATAGTCTTACAGACGATTGGATGATTTCGATTTTAAATTGTAAAAGTAAAAAATCCACTTTAGACCTAGCGATCCATTGGGCAGAGGAAGTAGAGTTCATATGTTTCACGACCTCGCCACATGAAGGGAAGGTGTGGTCAGCACTTTGCTCAGCCGCCTTTACTTTCCCTAACTTGAGTTAGGTACCCATTAGGGCTGGGTGGACTCAAGGACGTTCTACTAACTTGGACCAGGATTGGAACTTGAGATTAGCATCCTAATACAACCTAAGTAAAAAGCTTTTAAACATTTTTTTTAACTGTAAGACGTTATATAATAATAACGGATGTTAATCAACGAATTGATCTCTACCCAGATTGTTGAAACATTATCAGTAGTATCAAAATTTAATCTTCTTTTGATGGTTGAGACCTAAATTTACCTTTCCTTGGGATAGATTATCCATTTTGTGATTACAAAATATGTTTTAAAATGTATATGTATAAAGCTTGAAGTTTAGATGTATAATTGTTTGTTTCTTTCTTTATTTTTATTATGCCATGAGTGCATTTAAATATGCTTAGAATACTGACTGGTAGAAACATATAATATTTGTATTTTAGTTCAACGTTTAACAAAGTATTTTCCTTTCCATTTGTACAAAACCAGGTCTTGGAGTTCGCTGTTCTCACCGTCGCCTGAAGCTGGTGGGTCAGGTTGTCGTCGTTGTCGTCTGTCTGAACATCCTGCTGTTGGTGCTCTCCTTCAACTGGAAGATACTCAACAGTTCTCCGTACATGAATTACCTGCCCTTTGACGGGTCTGTGGTCAATCATGCCGTACCCAAGGAAACAGCGCTGCCGAAATTTGAAAACGAGAATGAGTTGAGGATCCCGACTGCAAGTTCACACTTACAGCGGCATCCGGTGCTACATCCGGTAAACAAAGACTACGTCCAGAAAACGGCGTGTAGTTATCGGACCACAGCTTATCTTTTCGACAAACCGATTGTTCTAGACGAACCCCCTTTTATGGTCTACACTAAGCTGATGGCGTGCTACGAGGAAGGGAACATCGCAGATTTCGGCGGCAAGTTCGCCATGTTCATCAACGCTATCATCAACCCGAAACAGTTTGAGAACCTCCAGAAGGGGGGAGAAAACATTGAAGACGTCTGGAACCAGGACGAGAAAGACGAGTACTTCCGGCTCCTCCCCGGGTTCTTCCGTGTACCGTGCACGTCTAAACCGGTGATTGAGTTTGAGCCACCCGACCACCTGGTCCACTGGATGGAGATGCTGGCCTGCTATAAAACCAACGAGACCGACCTGCTGCGTTTCCCCAAAGTTTCCAGCGTCACCCTGGCCGTACAGCGCTACGAGTACGTCAACCTTTACCACACCATGACAGATTTCTACAACGCCTTTGTCCTCATGTTGATCTTCGGCGTGGCGCCCTCGAAGCTGAACATTCTGTTTGTTGACGCCCACCCTGTGGGCACCCTTGACGACGTGTGGTCGACACTTTTCGGGCGGTACATCAGAGCCGGGCGGTTAGAAAGTCCAACTTTGTTTACAAACCTTCTCTGGGCACAGCTTGGGTACTTCAGCCCTTTAAACTCTCACTACTTAAGTACCGTTCCGTATCTAACAGAATTTAGAGACTTTTTCTTAACCAAGCATAACATCTCAACGTCCCACTCAATACATTGTGACAGACTTAACGTCGTTATCATATGGCGACGTGACTACGTCGCCCACCCTAGAAACAAAAACGGCAACGTCGTGAGGAAGTTTGACAACGAGGAGGAAATACTTCAACAGGTGCGAGCTACACTGGGTCCTACAGCCAACGTCCACGGGCATCAACTGGACGCGCTGCCCATGCGGGAACAGCTCTCCATCATCGCAGGCTGCGACATCCTCATCGGCATGCACGGTGCTGGCCTCTCCCATATCTTGTTCCTCCCGCCCTCCAGCGGGGTCATCGAACTCAAACCTTCGTACACGGATTCTGCCCTCAATCATTTTGGAGCGTTTTCAAGATGGCGGAACTTGACGTACACAAACTGGGACAACAGTGACACGAGTAACGAAAGGGACTCGTTCAAAACATACATTCCCCGGTCGGTGATAGACGAACGGGTAAAACGTGTTTACAGCCAAATTTGTAAAACATAATAGTTGAATTGATATGTGTTATTTTACCATTTAAAAACAGTTTAGTAATGTTTATTAGGCTAAGGTCGACATAATTTTATTTTGAAGTGAAAATGTTGAAGATAATTTTTAAAATCCAGGATATGAAGTTAAAGCGGACAGAACCACTGAAGGGAAACAATCAAGAATTTGTTTTAGACTATGCTTGATACTTTTATAATTTTATTTCTGAATGAAAAATGTATGTTACCAAGATTGTTTCATTCCACACAGTTGCCATATTTCTCCAATAATTTTGTGTGTGTAAATACATTTTTTATGTTTGAAAATGTCAGACATATTTTATGTCTGTTTCTCTTATAGGCTGCAATCAATATTTCAACAAGTGTAATGGTTTATTGGCCTTTTGTTTTGTAGACTATATATTTATTATTGTTGCCATTTTTAGTGTGATAATTGTTGCTTTATACAAATTGATGTGTTTTGAGGGTTTTCTGAGGTGCGTTATTTTAAATTCTATGCTTTATACTTGTAGGCATTTTCTCATTACTTTTCATAATTTGTTGAATATGTGTGTTGGATATGTGTGTTAAATATGTGTGTTAAAGATATGTGTGTAAAAGATGTGTGTAAAAGATGTGTGTTAAAGAAATGTGTGTTAGAGATATGTGTGTTAAAGATATGTGTGTTAAACATATATGTGTTAAAGATATGTGTGTTAAAGATATGTGTGTTAAAGATATGTGTGTTAAAGATATGTGTGTTAAAGATATGTGTGTTAAAGATATGTGTGTTAAACATATATGTGTTAAAGATATGTATGATAAAGATATGTGTGTTAAAGATATGTGTGTTAAAGATATGTGTGTTAAAGATATGTGTGTTAAAGATATGTATGATAAAGATATGTGTGTTAAAGATATGTGTGTTAAAGATATGTGTGTTAAAGATATGTGTGTTAAAGAAATGTGCGTTAAAGATATGTGTGTTAAAGATATGTGTGTTAAAGATATGTGTGTTACAGATATGTGTGTTACAGATATGTGTGTTAAGATATGTGTGTTAAAGATATGTGTGTTAAAGATATGTGTGTTAAAGATATGTGTGTTAAAGATATGTGTGTGTCAAACAGAGAATGACTAACATGTGGGATAGGATCAAGATCCATAAACACTTAAGTTATTCAGCTCAGGTGCCATGCTTGTGTCAATATCTATAATGATATTAAAATAGACCTGTTTATTAACAAACCAAAATCAATGGCAAAATTGTATGAGTTTTATAAACTCAATTCTTTTATTAATTTCAACAAAAAATTTGCAAGTAAAATAATGAACATTGAAATGAGTGAGGGAAAATGAAAATTACAAAACATATTCTACATGTTCTTTTAAATAAATACGTTATACTCACTATATTAATCATTATCTTTGATAATAATAAAATTGAATCCGATAAAACATCTGCGATACTTATTTTAAATTCATTTGCTTTATGGTTTTAAATGTTTGATCTTAAAAGTGTTAAAATTCGAATGATTTAAGTATCTAAACTTGTTATATCACAGTTTTTCATCATTGTCTTCTTTTCACAGTTTAAAGCAGTTAATTATACACTTGAATACTACTTTCCAAATTACATTGATATTGGTTAAAATAAAAAGCAAATGCAACTTTAATAAGAAAAAAAAAAAACTTAAGTACGGTATGCGAGTAAATATTATTATAAGGGAAACAATTTGACTTAATGTTTTATTAAGTTCTTTAAATTTAAGTTGCTGTCCTTTAAATGGAAAATACATATTACTATCAGTCATTTCAAATATACTACAGTACACACAAAAATATTTATCTAACAATTTGAGTTATTACATTTTTTTATCCCATCATAATAATTTATTGACATTCTTTTTTTTCTGTTGTTGCAAGCAAAGTTGAGTTGTTTTTTAACTGTCTTTTGTTAAAACATTAAAACTGAAATGAATTACTAGCATTTTCTCACTAACAATTATATTTTTTGTTTTTGTTTTGTTTTTGTTAAATGCTGTGTATCAACATAAAATAAATTATATAATTTCATAATTGTGTTATAATAACACATTAAAAGTACATTTTTCCAACACTGACTTTACAGTCACACTTTTCTATGATCTAACATTGAACAACATCTTCTCTTGAGACGCTACTCAACAGAAGACACAAACGAAACGTTTGTTGTGATAATATAACACAGATTTTAAAAAATATGTTTTTTCTTTTGCTCTGCTTTGTAGCCAGATCACAACTAATTCATCTAATTTCACATTTACAGGGGAGCTACTATAATAATGTTACTGGTTATGACTGTTCATTTTGTCTCCCCTGTTTCTATATTTGGAACAAAAACTATTTTTAGCTAATAAACACTATGGCTCTAAGACTGGATCATGCTGCTCATGTGCTATATAAAGATAGGTTTTAATTTTAATTTTCATTTTTTTGTTAATTTAAAATCTCAATTTAAAAGCTTGTGCTAATGTTTTTACAGCTTTTAAAATAAAAAAAATAAAAACTATGAGCCTAATTGACACGTGCGAATTACTTTAATATGTAGCTGTGGTCATAATGAATTTTTACACACTTTCGGTGCGTTAGTTGGTGACAAATATAAAATACAACCCCCCCCCCTTTTCTGTACATTGTCCTAAGGAAAAACTGAATGAGGCCCCCCGCCCCTTTCCTACTCACATCTCCGATTCAGAGGCGTAGCGAGGGGGGGGGGCGGGGGGACATATGTCCCCGGGCGCCGACCTTAGGGGGGGGCGCCAAATTGAAAGTTTGAGGGGGGTGCAAATCGAAAGTTTGAGGGGGGGGTGCAAATGAAAAGTTCGAGGGGGGGTGCAAATCGAAAAGTTTGTCCCCGGGCGCCGGGTAGGGTCGCTACGCCGCTGCTCCGATTACCCACGCCAAATACTTTTCTTATTACAAGTCCTTGGTTATTCAAACAATTTAGTTCTACTATGTATACAACACAACGATACTAAAACAATCGCCTGTGGGAAACAGATGTAAGGGTGATGCACATTTGCATATATTTATTTAATGAGGATTTATTGAAGCTATTTATTTCTATGGTAATCACAACGAATTTAAAAAAAACAATGAACGTATACATCGCCACATTTCTTTGAACCATTTAGGAACTATTTTTACACACCGTTGTAAATGTCAACATCACCGCTTATCTTGTATGTGTCAAGTCCAGTATTCATGTTACGGTTGTAGTCGATAATTTTGTAATAAAATTAGAATTGGAATTTGCATAACATTAACTGTGACTCTAATACATAACATGTTATATTGAGGTACAATTCCGTTATGTGTTTCTGGCTAAGTAAATAAATTAGATTAAATACTGCTAAAACGGAAACCTCACAAAGCTCTATCCATTAAAATAAGTTTTAAATAAAATTTCAAATTGGATTTTAGCGAAGGAAGCTGGATTATTGAAGAAGCATATTTTCAACAGTAAACTATATTTAAGAATAATTAATCCTATTTTTTATAAATAAAGTACAGAAATAACTCCTTGAAGCCCCTTCATCCCTTTATGTCTCCCTCCTGTTAGCACAGGGCCCTGCATTATTGTTTATGGTAGGTTAACTCGTTTGGTATGCGCATCGTATATTTAATGTTATTGGGTGTTAGGTAAAATTAATAAACGGGTTAATACAAAACGAACCCAATTTTAATTAGTTTACTGAATGTAAAGTTGATATAACTTTGTTTAGATGATTTATAAATATGTGTTTATGTTCTTACAAAGGCAAAATCTGACGTCAATAGACTAACCAGATGCTATTATTGAACACACACAACTGTATAAGCTTCAAACAAACTAAGAAACTATAATATGTTTAGATCCACTCAGATGTAACCAGAGTTAAGTGTGCAGATGTCCTTAAACTATAAGCGTATGGCGTGTATTACTTAGGACGTTGAACAAAGTAGATGTTAACATTATGAAAACCAAACTTATCTCTTAAATCCGACGTCAACAAATAGGTGAATATGAAATTTGATGTGTACTTATGTAAACATAATATAATTAAACTGTATATCAAACCGCTGTAAGCAATTTTAGATTGTACATATTATGCATATTACATGTTATATGTTATATATATATATATATATATATATATATATATATATATATATATGTGTGTGTGTGTGTGTGTGTGTGTGTGTGTTACGGTCAAAGCCTGAAGCGCGGCCAAAGCCCGCATTGGCCGGCCAATGTGCGCATTGGCCGGCTCTCTTGTCCAAAGCCCGAACAACTTAGCACTAAGAGCGTATTTCGTACCTTGGATGGCCAATGCGCGCACTGGCCGGGCTGTCCTGGCCAGTGTTCTATTTAGACTAAGTTGTGATCGCGTTTCCATCGTGTGGTTTCATTGTGAATAACGTATTGTTCGGCTTTTGTTTGTATAGCATTCTATATGCAATGCGACATTGACTAAAAGGACCGTCAGATCAAGAGACAGACATACCAGATGGCTACCAAATTAAAAATAATCCAAATAGTATATATCCTTATATAGATAAGGGACTACTAAAAATACTCATTTGCACATGTACACGAAACTACATTTTACATTGATTTGCAGATAATGTTTGAGTATACATGTTGATTCCCAAGAGTTTTTTTTTTCTGTTTTGTTTCTATTTTTTTTTTAAATGAAAATTAAAAATCGATGTTTGAATAGATTTTGATATGATCCTACTATTATCTGAAGAGATCAGAGTCAAACTGTAACATTGTATTACGTAGTGCGATAGCGCTTTGATTATCACAACTCAATCCGTGCTTCAGAGGCGTAGCAATGGGGGGGGGGGCGGGGGGGACATACGGCGCCGACCTTATGGGGCGCCAAAATGGGTTGGAAAAAGAAATTGAAAGTTTGAGGGGGGGGGGGGGGTGAAAATCGAAAGTTTGTCCCCGGCCGCCGGGAAGGGTCGCTACGCCTCTGCCGTGCTTCTATCCTTATGTCGATCCGTCTGTCTATAATTCGCTTCATCCATCCGATTTATCTGTTGAGTTCTTCTACTAAGTCTAGGAAGGAATACACTTAATGCAGGACAATACATAGACGTTGCTGAATTATATCAATGAAAATAATAATGATATTAATAATAAAAATTATTCATTAAAGTGATAACGCATACTTAACACACTACGGTACTCTAATACCATACGTTCGCTGCAGCACACCTGTCCACTACACGTGCTCCAACAGCTCCACACTCACACGCATTCTATTACACATCAAGTCTCAATCCAAGCGTAAACAATTCTCGTCCCATTACACTTCACAGACGATTAAGGGCTAAGGCTAAGTACAAACAAAGGCTACCTGCCTTTTCAAAACAACACTCTCTCTTTATCATGTGAGGCTGAAACTGAAAGACTTAACACAACACATCCATTTAAAATATACATTCAAACCGTCCACCCATCCATCTATCCATCAGTCTATCAATACGTTCATTCTTCCTGTCCATTCATCTTTCCATCCATCCATCCATCCATCCATCCATCAATCCATCCATCCATCCATCCATCCATCCATCCATCCATCCATCCATCCATCCATCCATCCATCCATCCATCCATCCATCCATCCATCCATCCATCCATCCATCCATCCATCCATCCATCCATCCATCCATCCATCCATCCATCCATCCACCCATCCACCCATCCACCCATCCATCCATCCATCCATCCATCCATCCATCCATCCATCCATCCATCCATCCATCCATCCATCCATCCATCCATCCATCCATCCATCCATCCATCCATCCATCCATCCATCCATCCATCCATCCATCCATCCATCCAACCATCAGTATATTTAGCCGCCCTTCCATCTGTCCATCCATATGTCCATCCGTCCATCCGTCTCTCCTCCATCCGTAGATTTAATCCATCCATCAATCCATCCATCTATCCTTCCATCCATCCATGAATTGATTATAGTGTATTTTGTTTTTCTTTATCCAGTGCCATCAAAATGAATGTATTTAATGATAGGTCTTCAAACAAATGATAAACCCAGATGTTTCCGTAAGGTAATTTTAAAACACAGTCATAAAGACGGTAGTCTTGAAACACAAAGGCAAGAAATTCGATTCTAAGTAGCGTAAAAATGACTAAATCAATATAACTTAGATGTCGTGTATAGTGTTATTATGTTAAAAGAAATATAATGGATCATACAAAAAAGTGTTTTAAATAAAATATAATCGAGTAGACTAGAGCAGAGTGGAGTAGGGTGGGGTAGGGTAGGATAGAAAAGAAAAGAAATGATATGTGATACCATGTGATGTGCTAGGCTAAGATAAGCTAGGCTAGGTTTGGCTTGGCTTGGCTTGGCTAGGTTACGCTAGGCTAAATTAAGCTATGATAGGATAAACTATGCTAGCCTAGGCTAAACTATGCTAGGCTAGGCTAGGCTAGGCTAGGCTAGGCTAGGCTAGGCTAGGCTACGATACGATACGATACGATACGATACGATACGATACGATACGATACGATACGATACGATACGATACGATACGATACGATACGATACGATACGATACGATACGATACGATACGATACGATACGATACGATACGATACGATACGATACGATACGATACGATACGATACGATACGATACGATACGATACGATACGAAAGCATACGATCGGATACGATAGGATACGATACAATAGGTTACGATAGGATACGATAGGATACGATAGGATACGATAGGATACGATAGGATAGGATACGATAGGATACGATAGGATAGGTTACGATAGGATACGATAGGATACGATAGGATACGATAGGATACGATAGGATACGATAGGATACGATAGGATACGATAGGATACGATAGGATACGATAGGATACGATAGGATACGATAGGATAGGATACGATAGGTTACGATAGGATAGGATACGATAGATAGGATACGAAAGATAGGATACGATAGGATATGTTTTTATACAGCAGTCACGGTTTTTAGATCGTGTGAAAAACTACACACTTCAATACGTTTAGTCAACATTTTTTCTTCAGATACAGTGGAAACGTGAGCCGATTCCTGTTCTTTACCCCTGTGGGGCTTATGGCATATAATCCCCGCCATGAAACATTGAAAACTTGACTTTGTTGCGTTAGTCAAATAACCATTTTACTCTCGCGTCTCAGTCTTTCGCGGTAGTGTGTTGTGTCGTGGGGCTAAATGCTACTGCTATCAATATTTTCCACCAAGGCATTACTTACATTTTATGAAGGTAAGGTTTTATTATCTTAAGAAATTACGGCTCTGATACAGACTTATACTAGTTCAGACTCAGACATATTCACTCAAATTTTAACTTTGACCTTTTTAGGGCATGACTTAATTAGACTTTGCTTACATTTTAATAAGGAAATAAAGGCCAAGAATGTTGAAATGTCCAAGAAAAACATTTTTTACAAGCCTGATTCTCACAGCATTAACTATCATCACAGTATTCAATTTGAACAAAATATCGGTAAGTGTTTTTTTTTACATCACCAACAACATCAACATCGACATCAACGCAACATCAACATCAATACATACTTCTACTCCAACATCAACCTTTACATCTACTTCTATATCTACATCTACATGTAATCGATTTCGATTTTCATTATACGTTTGTATATTTATAACTAAATCTACATCTTAAGCAGGCCTACTACCTTTTCTAATACGTTACTTTTATTTCTGTCTGTATCACATTCTTTATGTATATATATATATATATATATATATATATATATATATATATATATATATATATATATGTATATATATATATATATATATATATATATATATATATATATATATATATATATATATATATATATATATGTGTGTGTGTTTGTGTTTGTGTGTGTGTGTGTATGTGTGTAGGTATGTGTGTATGTATGTGTGTGTGTGTTTATCATTTCTTTAATGCTCAAACAATCTTCAAGTTCGCTGCTACCAGGAATTCTAAATCGGGAAGTTCACATCACAAAATACGTTACTATAATAAAGTCAAAAGAATGAACCAAACTTCTGAAGATGAATCTCCATTTAATCCCGATGAATCGTATGGAATTCAATTCCTGGCAAAAGAGCTCGCTAAAAAGCTTGATCTGGCCGATATGACACCTGATGTAGAAAATATCACCCTCGGGTGTAAGGGAATTAGGCATGTAGAACCTGACGAATGTAACAGGACCAGTTTAGGAAAGTCATGCTTGCAGCCTATACTTCCAGCAGATTATGAGACCAGGATCAAACAGCTGGCTTTTAAGGACAATTTACAAATTGATGATCAGTACACGGCAGTCATAAAATCGTTTACAGATCAGATTAATGGATCATACGACGTTATTATTGTCAGCGCTGTTTCATCTAATCATTTTAAGGAATCGCAGGTAAAGATTTTAAATATTTGTTTTGCTTAAATTTTAAATGATTCATTGTTACATGTGTGCCGTATTTTTTTTTAACTCTCAAACATTATAATTCAAAATATGCAAATTACACCAAAACATTTATCTATATAAACAAACCAAACCAAACCAAAACAAAACACAACACAACACAATTAAACAAAATAAAACTGCTAATTTTTGCATATGAACATACACCTATTCACCGTTTTATAATAGACTTCAACATCTATCAAAAACTATCCTATTGATACCTTATAGTGGATTATCAATGCTATTTCGTCTAAAAATGTCCACAATATATTTTTAATTTCAAAATCATATTGATTATTTTTCTTGTATGCAAAATAAAATGTTGTATGTTATTTTTTTGCACATTAATATGTTGGATGTCAAAATATATAAGTAGTTATTTAGTATTTATCTATCCTAGGCATTACTAAACTCACTGCATACCGGCGTCTTTCCTCTGCTGACCGACTATCTTTTAGTGGTGTTTGATATTGGCTTATCTGTCGAGGAAAAGATACAGTATAAAAAATATTGCAGGTAAAAAGATTTTTTTTTTCTTACAGTATACGGCGCATGTAAAAAAAACATTCATGAAACATTACGGTAAATGTAGGATAAAAAAGTGGATGCTTCGTATTTAATATTTCACTCCTGTATCACTGTTAACGCTACATTAGTTTGTGTGCTGAAACAATGTCGCAGTTAATATTTCAGCTTTCTCATATTCCATTTAAAAAATGATGACTAAAAACCAACGTTTTGAAATGTAACTGCAGACAAGCAATAACTTGACAAACTAAATAACAGTTGGTATCTTTAGCTGACCAGGGATGTGATCTAAATCTTTGGTCGAAAGCTAGTTATCTATATATATATATATATAAATTGTGTATAAAAGTTAATTATTTCTATTTTTATCTTTATACCTGAGACAAGAGATTTACTCAAATAGGCGAATAATTTTTTAAAAAATTAAATTTGAATGACAATTAATTGTTTTAGTGTAATAAGTAAGTAGATATGTTACATTCAGTCATTTAAACGTATTTCTTCCATTTTAAATCTCGTTTAAGATATAAATGAGTATATTTTGTTTAAAAAGGTGGTCTTGTCGAAATGATGCAGGTTTATCATAACATAATCATAAATAATTTGCAAAGAGTTATTAAATAATGTTTATACATTTAATTTTGATGAATATTTCTCAGAAAACAATCATAAAATAAATAGGAGGACTAAACAAAACCAATTGGCCTTTTCAAAAATACTTTCTACATTATACCTTAAGTCAAATCTGTATAATTTTTATTAGTGCTCTTTTTTGTGTTTTTATTCCGGGATTTTTAAATTTCTTAATTCCACTGACATATATTATTTCAAATTACACAAAAATCGTACAATTATGTCCCTTTTTTATTGCTGCTCTAGATGGGGAATTCCTAATGCACACATTTAAATACCCACACAACATCATTATAGCCGAAAGGTTTGGTAATCATTAAACATATTTGTCCGTATCGATAGACCAACTCATCTGCAATAGGTACACCATTCGAATGCAGTTGTTTATGTATGGAAAAAATACTTTATAAAAGTAGTGTGTACACTGAATCGTAATTTGACTTGCTAAATAATTAGACGATATTTTCAAGTAGCTCAAATAACGATTTTAACTCTTTTCCCAATCTACTTTACAGGTGTATAGTTATAGATTTTCTTTTTGAGAAATTTCCTCCTCACTTTAAATCTTTGAAATGTTTTGCCTGGAAGCCAATAGCAGTCAGTGCTGTGTATCCTAAAGCCAACGTTGTCATTTGGGCAGATGCGTCTGTTAGGTCTGTTACATTTTTTTCTTATGGTCAATGATGGTACTTTTTAATAATGAACTTTTGTTTAGATTTATTCGGATCAACATTTAAAAAAACTATATAACAATTAAATGTATCATTATGAAACATGCTCTTTTTAAATTGGAGAAATAGTATTTTAGTTGTTTTTTGCACATTAATGTAATATGTTAGATGCCAAAAAAATATGAGTAGTTATTTAGTATTTATCTTCCTTAACTAAAAATTTGTTTGTCGCCGATTTTTACGTTGCTTGAAATGTTTTCAATAGATTCGTCTTGCCAGAGGCCATACCTGCTATGGTATCAAAAACAAAACGCCAAGGTGTAGCCATCCGATGCAACCCCAAATATTTTGCTAATCCATACTACACTCTTAAGCAGGTAAAAAAAAATATTAAAAATTACATTTATGGTTATTTTTAGAGGAACATTAATTCAGTTATCATCTTGTTCAAATACATTTCGTAATCTTACCTACTCACCTAAAGACAAATAATATTCCAGATGTTTCAATATTTTGGCGACTCGCCCTGTGCCCACCTACCATTTGTAGAAGTTGAAATGGCTTTTGGGATGTTCCACAGGTGGGTTCGTTGCTAGTTTAAAAGACAACTTTCACTAATGTTATTATATTAAAAATACACAATTTAATTTAGTTTTCTTTTTTTTTGTAGTAATGCAATTTGAATGGTTGTTACAGTAAAACATACATATTTTGAAAAATGTGTTACTATTTTTTAATGAAAACATGTTTTTTTTATGTACGTGTACGTGTACGTGTGCTTGTGCGATTGCCTTTGCGTTTGCGTGTGCGTGTACGTATACGTGAAACGTTAAACGTGTTCATGTATATGTATTTGTGTACCTGTTTGTGTACATTTATATTTTTATGTGTATGAATAATACTTAATCTTTTCAGAGAGCCATTGGTTAAGAAAACTATTCTCGATCCTTGGGTTGGCTGTGCCCTTAATGCAGCCTGCACATGTCCAGTCCCGCAGCACACAGTTCAGTTCTGTCCACCACGTATACAGCCTCCAAGATTTGGCTACTGCATGCGTAACGACCAGTCTTCAATGGGCATCATCATGGCCAAATTGTTTCGCGAAAAATATTATTATTTCGCTCTACGAACGGACTGGTTTATGAAACTCAGGCGTAATGAGAAAATGGAATATTTTCAGAAATTAGAAAATGAAAACTAAATATGTCTAATAGGTCACATTCACAAACTAATTGCAGTGCAAGAAAACCTAGGGTGGCTAGAATTGAGACAGTTTACTACAACGGTAATTTGTATTCACATTTTAATTTACCCGAACAAAATGTGAAACTACTACCAGAAATGTATCATTTAGGGGACGATGGGGAGGGGGAGGTAGGGGGAATTGACGAAAAAATAGACAAAAAACCGTTATACATTGTCACACTCAAAGATTGTAGTTTATTAAATATTTAAATTTTATTAGAAAGTATATATTATCACTGGGAATTTGTATTATAACTGTGTAATTCTTAGTTCCATTGTAAAGAAAAAAATCGTGTGGCGAATTTGTTAGTATCTCTCCCTTTGTTTGATTGATACTTTCCCCGTATCTTCCTTTCAGCTACAGCAATTCATAAGCTGAATTGCATTCGATTGTATACAAAACAATTATTTTGTATCATCAATATCGTTTGTAAATCATGTACATGTTTTTATGCTTAATATACAATTGTTTAAGAATTTATCTTTTTTTTTCTCTGTCAAAAGCCTTTAAAAATAAATTGTTTTATGGAATATGATGGAGTGTAATGTTGGTCAATTTTGACAAAACACTGAATTTGTACTTGTGGTTTAAGTTTTACATTAATTTTTTTTCATAGAGAGTAGAGCGATGGGCAAAGTGGAGGGTATTTGTTTTATTTGGTTTTGTCTAAATTTGTCTTATTATACATGTGTGTGTGTGTGTGTGTGCGTGCGTGCGTGCGTGCGTGCGTGTGTGCGTGTGTGTGTGTGTGTGTGTGTGTGTGTGTGTGTGTGTGTGAAGTCCAGTACTCGTGGTACGGTAGTTGTCGATACGGTTGTAATAAAATTATGTTTGCAATTTTGTTAACATTAACTGTGACACTAATACCTTACCAAATTTATTAGTGTACAATGTTTATATGTATATCAGCTACATAACAATCAAGAAATAAATCCGTAAAAGAAAAAACACACACAAATAAATACATAAAGGAAAACAGATAAATAAAGATAAAGAACTGCTTTAGCCGATTAAGCATATTAATTAGGCTAATTGATTAATTATAGTCTTCATTTTCACACTAATTGCATTAAGAAACTAGTAATAATATTCAAAAGTAAAAATGAAAGCATATCCTTCTATTTCCATTAAAATTGAATGTAACTGCAGTTACATCAAGATAATTAGTATTTCTAATAATTCTTGACTACTGGCCGATATGTTTGCAACACGTTTTGTCTGAAAGACAATTCCTGACGTCACTAGACTGAACCAGATGTTATTGTTGCACACACGCAACTATGTAAACCTCAAACAGCCTCTAGGGGGGGGGGGATAAAATTTTAAGATTCCCTCTTGTTTAACCAGGATTAAGAGTGTAGATATTCTAAAACCGTAGGTGTATCTGTATGTCTAGTGTAGTCGAGTCACTTCGACAACATAGGTGTTGACCTCTAAACACAGTACAAATCGATGGGATCAAATAGGGTTGTCCGTACATGACCAACATCCATAAGGGAGGCGGTGTTGACAATTTGTGATTGCGTGATTGCAGTTTTTAGAGTAACTTACATTTGAAAAATTGTAAATACTATTTATGTAAATAACAGTATGTAGATATTGCTCTGTTACTTAAGAACATCCATTGCATTACAGTTAATCAAAACTAATTAATACAAAATAAAGCCATTGTTAATTAGTAAGAAGATGTAAGGAATAATTTACGTTTGTTCGGATAACTCTTTAATATTAGTAAAAAAAAATTGAATAACACTCTGCTTGAAAGAAAAATTATATCCCTAAACATTTGAAAATATTTTTTTTTCAAATGCATCCACTCAGTTCGATAAGCGCAATGACTGCCCGTAAATGAAGAAAATAGAATAAATTCGATCAGGAATATTCGGAATTAAATGCGTCTGTAATGTAAAATAGGTACGTGTGGGCCAAATAATTTCCAACAATGTAGTAACCGACGGACAGAAACACTTTACAACTGTAAACATCCAACGTCATCTTATATGTGAGCACAACAGTTAAAAATTAATGTAAACACATTTAACACAAGTAAAATTTACATTTACAGATGTATACATCTATATATGAACATATGTACATATTATTAATTATTACAAGTTGATGTATAAGTTGGACATATTAAAATAATTGTTTGCATATTTTGTAAATGTAATTACTCTGTACATTGATTTTATTATACATGTACAAATTTCTTCCTAAACTTAGTTTGCTTTTTTACGTTAGATATTTTTCTATTTTTTTCAAGATCGACTTATCGATTTTTCACACTGCTTTTGATGTATAACTCCTACTAATTGGTGATGTTCTATAATGTTAACTATTGAGCGTTCACTGCTACACGCTGTGCGGTAAAGTCTTTTTGTTTTGTTTACTGTCTTCTATTGTCCGGGGTCTACGAGATTACCCCCGCCCCCGGACATCCCCCCTCCACACATTATCACCGGAACAATTATACCCTGTCAATTACTAACTTGTCAATTACCCACATAGGGAATTACCCCCACCCCAAGTTCACGAATCCTGACTCAAACTAAAATTTTATATATTACCTATATATTACCTTAATCCTAACCTTAAGAAAAACCCTAGCCCTAGCCCTAGCCCTAGCCCTAGCCCTAGCCCTAGCCCTAGCCCTAGCCCTAGCCCTAGCCCTAGCCCTAGCCCTAGCCCTAGCCCTAGCCCTAGCCCTAGCCCTAGCCCTAGCCCTAGCCCTAGCCCTAACCCTAGCCCTATCCCTAATCCAAACTCTAGCCCTAGCCCTAATCCAAACTCTAGCCCTAGCCCTAACTGCACCTTAAGCTGTGACCGGGGGAGGCTATGTCCTACTGAACGGGGAGGGGGGTGGGGGGGGAGTAATTGACAGGGAAGTAATTGACAAAGGGGTAATTACTCCGAGTGTGAATGTCGTGGTCGGGGGGGGGGATAATGCACGGGATGGGGACAGTACTTCCCGCAGAATGGAGATTGGGTGGGGGGAGGTAATGCCCTGTACCCTATTGTCCGTTCATCCCTTCACTCACCAGTCCGCCCGTCCGTCTATCAATCAATTCAACGATTTTTTTCTTACATACTACATGTTTCGCTCAATAGTAATAAAATTGTATGTAGTTGTTTTGTTTTTTCCGGCCCTCATAAAATGTGTAAACCTTATTCAGCTCAACCTTTGAATCAGGGGCGGAACTATATATATATATATATATATATATATATATATATATATATATATATATATATATATATATATATATATATATATATATATATATATATATATATATATATATATATTTAAAAACAAAGGGAAAAGGAATATACAAGAGCGTGGGGTGGTGTCTATACAATAAAGATAATCAAACCGCAGCTACGGTAATCTTTTTACAAAACAACCACCAAGTCTGCGGGGTCTGCCGACACTGTAGTTCCGCCCCTGCTTTGAATGCTTGATGCGTATGGCGTGTAGTGGGTCCAGGTTTAAGAAACGTATACACCAGATGTTAACGTGCGGTTCAGTAGATCAGTGAGTGAGAACCATTTTCAGGATAATAGCGGTTTTTTAGACTTAATTTTTTTGGAAGATTTTGTAAAGTTAAAACTGAAACAGGTACTGTCTGCAACTTCTGCTCATTGTTTTACTCTTTTATTCTTAAGATCATTTAGTTTCTTCTAACAGTAATATGGTTGATCTTCTGTTGGTTCTCTCCTGGCTGGGAAAGCTACGTTAAAATGTGGACGACCTTCTGTTTTACAGTACACAGGCCTACATGTTTGACATTTTCGTACATGTGCCTACTAAGTGTTTTCCCATACTTAGCTCTTTGCCTCTTTTCCAACTTGTTATCTCCCTTGAATCAAGTCTAAAACATCTTGCAATGTATTTTAGTGTAGTCGTCTTCTCCAGATCCCGAATTTGTGGCCATAATACATTATATAATTATTTTACTTTTTTTTTACAAGATTTGCTTTTATAGCCTTTGTCGAACAACATTCTGCAAGACAGCTGTTAATTGATTGATTTATCTGTCGTCACTCTTACATTGATTGGTTTACAGTAGTTGCTAGTTTACAGGTTTACGGGGCTTCTGTGTTTACAGGTTTACGAGGCTTCTGTGTTTACGAGGCTTCTGTGTTTACAGGTTTACGAGGCTTCTGTGTTTACAGGTTTACGAGGCTTCTGTGTTTACAGGTTTACGAGGCTTCTGTGTTTAGTGTTGACGAGGCTTCTGTGTTTACAGGTTTACGAGGCTTCTGTGTTTAGTGTTGACGAGGCTTCTGTGTTTACAGGTTTACGAGGCTTCTGTGTTTAGGGTTGACGAGGCTTCTGTGTTTACAGGTTTACGAGGCTTCTGTGTTTAGGGTTGACGAGGCTTCTGTGTTTACAGGTTTACGAGGCTTCTGTGTTTAGAGGTTTACGAGGCTTCTGTGTTTACGGATTTACGAGGCTTCTGTGTTTACAGGTTTACGAGGCTTCTGTGTTTACAGGTTTACGAGGCTTCTGTGTTTAAAGGTTTACGAGGCTTTTGTGTTTAGAGGTTTACGAGGCTTCTGTGTTTACAGATTTACGAGGCTTCTGTGTTTACAGGTTTACGAGGCTTCTGTGTTTGGGGCAAAAAGCCTGGGATTTCTTGAGTTAACAATCGTCTGTTTGTTTGTTTGTTTGTTGTAGATTTAGGCTTCTAAAACTGTTTTAAGTAGTCTACACACATCTTTTTGCATCATACATTTGGTATAATAAGTATAGCGTTTATATCCTAATATTTAGAACAATGGCTGAGTTTTTTCCTCAAATAAACAATTTTTCTTTGAAAAGTCTTGGAATTTTCCTGATATTCTGCATGATGCTCATCGTTATTAACTTAATCTTCAATGACAGGTAGGCCAACACGTCCATTCTCTGATAAAGATACAATTAGTTTTTAAAGATATTTTGTTAAATTTTTTAGTTTTTTAATAAAATGTTTTACTCGGCATGACACAAAAATACCTCGAAGAATATTAAAAAGAGCGTCTCTAAATTATAGCGCTACATTTATTTCCGTAAATGTTATCGAATCTTATTGGTTTTCAATTGCACACTAAGAAATATTTATCATTTGTCATGTGGCACAACATTTTTAAATAGGCCATACGCAATTAATACAATATTTTTGGATTAATATTTATTAGATGAAAGATATTTTTGTAACTACGTTTTAAAAATAATTGTATTATTTGTACAAATGTCATAGTTTGACAAGCAACACCTAACTTATAGATGTACAGTTTTCAGATGAGTATTCATTCGTGGAACTTAATACAGTCATTTGTCAAGTCGCATGCTGAATCTACAACACCCAATGCATCGGTAAATTCAACATCTCTAGCCATCGAACAAGGAAAGAGCAAGCATATGCTTTATGTTATGGTTAAAGAGAACAGTATCCGCGGTCGTCTAGGCAACCAGATGTTCATCTACGCATCGTTGCTAGGGATCGCACTTAAACAGGGCAGAAGCCCAGTCATGGAAAACGGCTTGCTTGTTGCTGAATCTTTCAATTTAACTTATATAGAGAATGATATTTCAGCCGTTGGGTAAGTTATTATTTGCTATTGATAAAAAAAAGTATCAATATTGATGTTCATATTAGCATTAAAGCAGAGGCGAAGCGATGGGGGGGGGGGGGGGGGGCAGGGGGGGTACATATGTCCCCGGTCGCCGACATTAGGGGGCGCCAAAATGGGTTGTAAAAACAAATTAAAATGTCATTTTAGCTGCATTTTTGCATTATAAATAGTTTGACGGGGGGGGGGGGGTTCAAATCAAAAGTTTGAAAATTTTGCTCCCGTCGGGAGCGCCAAATTGATAGTTTGTCCCCGGGCGCCGGCAAGGGTCGCTACGCCTCTTCATTAAATCGAGCGTATCGTGTGTTTTAGCTTTTAATATCTTCGACTAAACAACATGTATGCATCGATTAAATTCGCACTTCAATACAACAACATAGTATATACTACATACTTGTAAATATGAATACATTCATGATGCACATACATTCAATTTATTGGACGATTCCTAGTAAGTTCTTAAAGTGACCAAACACCCTAGTAATTATTTCATAGACCGCTTCATTTATTATATGATCTGGGTAGGATATCTTATTTCTAGGAATCTGATTCATCTTTTGAGTGTCCATGAAATGATTTGATATAAGAAGACGGGCCTGACCACATACCAATTGAAGTCGTTCAACCATTCCAAATACTTCTTAGATTGGGCAATTTTTGTTTCTCTCCATTGTCTGATAGCACGAAAGAATAAAGAGTGCCTCCCCCTGAAAATTTACCCGAATGCCTTCCACTGTATCATTTGTGTTGCTAGTAATGACTTTACTCTTCTCAGCACTGATTTCCAAATAATACGATGTTGCTGTTCTGCCCAAATGCTCTACTAATTCTACTAAATTGCCTTCACTGTCTGTTTTATCATCTATGCCATCAGAAAAGCTTTGGTTGGTCCGCTGATTCTGACAGAGCCTACAGTCATATTATTATCTCTCTACTGTATAAAAGTTGAGAAAGATGAGAAAGATGAGAAAGAGAAAACAGCTTTGCCTAAATTTAGTCGTTGTTCTAGACATCGAAGTATGAGCTAGTTGAAAGCTACAGCGCTAGTTATTCTCTCGTGGGTGTGAGTGTACGTGTTCGTGTACGTGTACGTGTACGTGTTCGTGTACGTGTACGTGTACGTGTACGTGTACGTGTACGTGTACGTGTACGTGTACGTGTACGTGTACGTGTACGTGTACGTGTAGCACATTTACTTTGTCATTTCTTAATTCATAAGATACTTTCTCAAACTATTATGGATTTTGTTTGGTAAAAGTATATATTTTCATATATTTTCTATATAAATTCCATTTTTTGGGGGGGAGGGCGGTAGACTTTCTTTGGGAGAGAGGGCGGACCATCCCCGAAGATATGCCTGAAAGAAACTCTGGCTGCTAACATGCCCTTGTGCATTAACAAAAAGCTTGAGTCAGCAACCACAAGCTCCATTTTAGAAAAATTATAATGCTAAATCATGTGAATATTTATTTTGAACTTTTTTAAAAAAATATTTTATTTCAGATGGAAACATGTACAAGAAAAGAATATTTCCAAATTTCAACCAACTCTGATGAACTTGCCCGCAGAAAATCTTACGTTGTCAGGTTATTTTCAATCCTGGAAGTATTTCGATCATATAAGTTCTCTAATACGCAGCGAATTTCAGTTCCATGAATCTGTACGTCATACAACGTCAACATTTTACATAAAAGCACACAAGTTGTACCCTAACACAACTTTTATAGGCGTCCATGTTAGACGCGGGGACACATTAAAACGAAAACGATCAAAGGATGTGTATGGCGACCCGCAAAAGTCATATTTCATCAAAGCATTTAATTACTTCAGGAAAATGTTTTTTAACCGAACGAGGTTTTTAGTAGCAAGCGACGATTTCAAGTGGTGCCAGGAAAATTTAATCGAGGCAGATGTCGAGATGCTGCCCCCTGATTCACCTGTACAGCACATGAGCATCCTGTCCAGTAGCGATCATTTCGTGCTCTCTATAGGCACCTTCGGCTGGTGGTGCGCTTGGCTGTGTGAGGGTATCACGATTTACTACGAACGGGAGTCTGGTGTATTGCCTGTGAAACAAGATTTTTATCTACCACAGTGGATTGGAATGGGCGACTAATAATATTTTTACCGCTGGTCTCAGGATAATTATGTTCTCAACAGATACTTTTCGACAACTAAAAATATAACTACTTCTTTTAAACATCTTAATTGTTTCTCTCAGTTGTCATGTTTGTATACTGTTTGCTGTGGACGCTGTATTCAAATGTGATTTTAAAGTACGCGTATAAAACTACGTTGTAAATCATTCCTGTACATGTAATTTTATTAATAAATGCTTCCATACTTTGGTGTGTAGGACTCTTGCGCAGCAACGCTCGTGATGGGTACGCTAGTATCCGATTGCGGAAATCGCTAAAAACCTCATATAAAAACAGTTGTTTTTTTTGTTTTTGTGTTTTTGCCTCAAACATGTAATTGACAGCGTCAGTTTGCCTTGCATGTTCGCTTTAGTATTACAGTTTAATCATCGGCTTGTGAGGACTGATACAGATTTACAATAGTAATACTTCTTTCTTACTTGTAGCCTACTTTTATTCATTTAAGATGGTTTACTTATATATACATCTAATACAAAACTTCTAATTACAAATTTTTTTTAAAATTAACTGAAAATGCAAATGTGTAAATAAATGATGATTCAAGGGATTTTTTTTCCATGGGCGTGATGGGCTGAAGGGGGTTTGGGCTTTTAAGTAGAGCTGAAATAGATTTTGGATTACAGAGAATGAAAACGAATTTTTTTTTTTAAATTTATTTGTTTTAAACATTTAAAATAGTAATAATAATTTATTTTATGGCTTTACGCAGCTTCCAAGACATGAACATCAATTGTATATATATAGTAATAAAATGTAGAAAACATCAATTGTACATATAAAAATTAAATGGAGAAAATAAAATGGCCTAAGAACTAGACTAAAATAAGGTGTGCAAACTCGCTTTCTTCTGACTGCCTAGCTCACTGTGCCTCATCCTCAGCTGCGAAGTCAAAAGTTCACATTGTAGCTACCCATGGGCAGAAATAGAAACGACCTTGGGAGAAGGGTCTTCGTAACACCCACACTGATCCATCACTCCAAAAACCTGCATGACACAAAATTGACTCCCGGCGACGAGCGCACGCTGCCAGTACGGCTGGGTGGGGGGAAGTGTGTGTGGGGGGAGAGGGGTGAGGTGTGTATCTCCTTTAACTATTCAGATTGTGTCCTTTTAAAACCTCGGAAACCCAAGACTGTTCTAATGTTACTTTACTCGAGAGTTGATCGAGTGATGTTTGGCTTGAGACTGTCTTAATAAAAATTAATACTTTATTAATTGTTTTCCCATACATTTGTTTTTAATTATTTTTTTTTAGTTAAGTGAGAGTTCCCAGTCTATGTCTTAGCTTTGCTTGAAATATTTTTTTTTAACTCGATGTCTGTGTCTTTTGTAAAATAAAATCTGAATTTATTCCTTATTTGCCATATATTCGATCTATAAATAGCCATTGCTACTAGTCTGTTTTCGTCTTCTGTTCTTTGTATAGTCGTAATAATTAAGTTCAATGTGGTTGCTTTATTTGTTGTGGCTGTTTGATTGGTGGTTTTTTATATTTTT